AAAATTTAGTCTAATCTATTCAGTACAGTGGATCAGACTCACTGTATTGTTAATAAAGAATCGATGTAGTTTATTAAACATAATTTGTGTTGGGTACTTTAGCTTTAGTGAGGCGGTTGCTATCAGGAGAAGGGGAATTCCTGTAATTTTTGGTCCTTAGAAGTGAGGTTGCCATCACCTCTAGAGCTGATCTCTTTGTTTTGGGAAGGTTGCCAGTATAGGCCCTGTAGTCACAAAAATTTAACATAAATACCCTCCACTCTTCTTGAAGATGGATCCATATACCTTATACTTACATGCAAATGCAGTCTGTTGGGAAGGTGAATGGTCTACTCTGTAATATAAATTGAGAGTCAGCTTTCCCATGTCTGGGCTCTTGAAGAAGGAGGGATTGCTTTCCAAAAGAAGTTTTGCATAGGAGAGTTGGATTAGTTAGTTATGATTAAATAGCCAAAGTCATAGGAAATGTATTATGGACCATTTTGATTGTTCTCCATAGGCTCTAGACTCTTTGGCCGTGGTGTTGAGAAACAAAGCCAGTGGAGTGTGCCCTCTCTTTTCCTCAGTCCTCATGTCTAGTCAGTTGTCAAGGCCTGTGGGTTCCCTCGCTGAAATATTACTGGACTTGATCTATTTTTTCATTCTCAGAGTCACTCTTAATCCAACCCAGATTAGCCACCTGATCCATTTCTGATTCTACATTCCAAATAAACTTTTAAAAATTCAGTCTAATCTGTTCATTTTCTTACTCTTTAGTCATTCAATTGACTGACGTTAGAATAGAGTTTTAATTTGTTTACCAAGATTTACCGAACCTCCACGTCTTGCCCTCTGCCTGTGTCATACCTCACCACCACCACCTTGCTCTCCCTGACCCCATGCCCTTGCCACGCTGGGGTCATTTCAGTTCCCACAACATGACTAGCTCTGTCTTGGCTTCCAAGCCTGCCATTCTCTCTGCAGTTTTTTTATTTGGCTCGGGGTCACAGTTTAGCTCAAATGTCTCTTCCTTCTGGGACTGTATTTGGATCCTATGTGCCTCCTGTTTTTGTAGCACATGTCACACTTGGACTGGTGTGTCAGAATGTTTCCTTGACAGATTGTAAACTTCCGGAAGGTAGGCGATGTTCTTTGCTCACTCTGTCTCTGCATCTAGAAGAATGCCTGACAGACACACAGAGCCATCCATAAATGAAAAGTGAACAAAAGAATGAATGAATGCAGTAGAAGGCAGTTGAGTGTATCAGAGCATCTGCGAGAGTGGAGATTATGATAAAGAAAATGCAAACGGCATGTTAAGAGTCAAAAGATTCTTGAAGTTTAACTTTTAGGCGCTCATTGCTGAATTTAGCAAGGAGGGTTTCAGTAACAGAATGGAAGCAAAAGCCAGAGAGTTGAAGTCTTAGGAATAAATGTTGTTTAAGGAAGTGAACACAGCACATAAGGCCTGATCTTACCAGAAGTGTGACTATATGGGGAAACAGAGATAGTGGTAAAGCTAGGGAAGAGTGATGGCCTGAGGGATCTGACATTTATTTGCCTGCCTTTTCTTAACTTACTGCTGGACAGACTTGGATATCCTCACCAGTTTTTCTGCTACTTTCTCCTGCTTTCCTGATATATCACAATGGGAATGTCTATAAATATTTCCTACTGTTAAGTGAAAAGAAACATATTTTAAAAGTCTGATTTATGTGATTTATTTAATTTTTTTCCAATTTTGGAGGAATGGAAACTTTCTAGATTTTCAGTCTACCTGAAAATTAAGATGTTTTCTTGACATTTATTTATAAAAATGACTGTTACAATCTGTGTTGGAATATGCAAACTATCCTTACTGAGGCAGTTTATTTTGAAGTTCTCTCAGCTACTCTTAAAAATCTGGGCTTTGGAATTTCATCTTAAAACACTAATATCTCCTTAACCACAGACTTGGGCACAGCCAGGTGCTAAGTCTGATATTGAACATTGGATATAAGTATTTGTTTTTGCTGTAGAGACTTAGTTCTTAGCAGTCTCACCCCTCCCAAATCTGATTTAAAATCTACTCTTTATTACTTGCTGTTGTAGAAGAGGCTTTCTGTGTTATAGAGTACCTCAGGTCTTTTTACATGTGGAAAACAAGGTTTTTTTGCTTAATTACCTCCTAGAGTTTAAATGATGGAGCACTCCTTTACCCAAACAGTAAGGCACCCTGGTTATTAATATGAGGTCAGTACCTGGGTCATTACTCTCACCGAAACAGTTAATCACTTACTAGCAAGAGGGAGAGCACATTCAGTATATTTGGAGGCTGTTTAATCATCAACTTTGGAAATGGCAAATATTTCTCCAAGTTTCTGGGAACATACATCCCATGGCTTGCCAAGGCTTTGTCACCAAATTTATTACTTGAATTAATTTGTTTTTCCTTTACCATGTTTCTATCATTTCTACAACCACTTATGTACTGGATTCAGCAAATGACCAAGTCATTTGTGAAGCTACTGCTAATGTTACACATGAAAACACATCCCTGGTTGAGTTGAGGGACTGTTCTGTATTCCTGGCAGGCAAACACCAGACAAACATAGGTTTCCAAGGTATTGGCACTGTGTGCATCTGTTTCTTGGTGTAATTTCATCATTTGAACAGATGAAGAATGCTCATTAGTTTGTTTTTACATTTGTGATTTAATGAGACTAAACACTTAACTGATCTTGAAGTAAGCACAACTTGTTTCCTGTTGCTGTTCTTAGTTTAATAACAAACAGTGTTAGGCACATTTTCTGGAAATTATAATACTGTTCAATACAGGAGAATTTCAAGGAAGGTTGACTGGTCGGTCGTATCTAGCTGCAATGAGATTGAATAGGAAGATCAGAATAAAAATATTGAGTTTCCCTAAACTCAATATGAGTTTATGAGAAGATTAAGCTAATGGAAGACTTTATCATAAACTATATTATATCACATTTCTAAATCTAGTACTAAAACTCTAATATGTACCAGAATAATTTATTTTAGGAAGCAGTTCTATACTTTGATTACATTCATCCTATAATCAGTAAATAGTAACAGACTTATGCTGAGATATATCAAAGCCCGAGAAACAAATCTTTGTGGAATTGAGTCTGAAAAGAAATGTAGTGGAGAGCTTTAAATTTTTAAGTCTTCCAGAATCCAAGTAACTATTCTACCTATCACCAAATCACCTTTGTGTCACTCAGTAGTCTGCTGAGATAGAGAGCTCCCTATTCTACTCTAACAGAATATATTTTCTGCTCATGAATATATAGTATCTTCCTTGTACCTTCTGGAAGATTCATAAATTACATGTGATCATAGATTTGGGGTATGACTTTAAGTAACAGAAAGTACTGACAGCTTCTTCTGGCCTGTCAGCATCCATAATCTTCACTCATACTTAATATGCAGTGACACCTCAAGGGTTGTCAGATGTGGAATTCAGCTTTCTTATTTTTCTCATTTCAGAAAATGCATTGTCCATTGTCCTAAACTTATCAGATAACTTATCTGTGACAAATTACAAGCTATTGCTTATACATGTTAAGAACATATTAAAAGTATTGAGGTGCATAGAAAAGAAAAATAATAATTGAACTCTAGTTCTAAAACCTGAAGTATAAGGCTTTATCCTGGATGATTTAAATGCCACTAGTCAATGAACAGAAGAATTATGTTGTTTTCTTTTTAATATAAACTTCTAAGCCGTATCTTAAAGATAAATTAATCCTAGTTTATAAATTAAGCCTGATTATTTAAAAACTAGTATAATTTGGTAATATGAGTGTAGATTAATAGAGAACTCATGGACTCGAGTCAGAGGGACCTATATTTGAACTTTAGCGCCGTCACTCACTTCAAATGAAAGAAAACGACCTAAACTTTTGAACTTCTGGCCCTTTGGGGATAATAATACCTGAGTCATATGGTTGCTATGAGGATTAAACGACTCCTACGAGGCTTAGATGTGAATACAGAGTTCTCTGCACTGTGTCAGGCACATAGTAGGGGTTAGTACACATGGGTTCTTTTCCACACTTTTGTGTTTTTGATTTTCCAAGAATAGAAATAGTTGGCGAACCCAGCTAATCAAGACCATTAGCATTGTGCATAGGTTGAACTCGCAACCAGACAGTTCCACTGATGAACAACTAATGATAAATGAGTTGTGATTTATGTGGGGATTCATAATCTCAACATCAATAAAAACAAAAAATACAGGGAAAGTTTGCAGAAATGGCCCTGTGTGTGATTTCAGTGGACCTCTGGGAAGAGAGGCCTTTCTGGTTTACTCCAGTGTTATCTAGATTCGGATCCAGAGGCGCTTAAAAATCCAGTGGCATGTTTTTAGGGATCAAGAGTTCTTTGAAAAAATATTGTTTTTCAATTTGACAATATTTTAAAATTATTCGACTTTAAAGACAAGTGTCTTTTGTAGTAATCATTTCAATTATTATTTTTTTATATAAATAAAAGCCAGTGTTTCAGATCTGAAAACATATACTTGGGCATCAAATATATGTGTATATATATATTTAGTTATGTCTGGGAAACATTGGTTTATGCTTTCTCGTTTATCGTAATGACAGCATAATGAGGATGTAGTAGTATTAGCCCTAATAAAACATAGATTTAGACTTTGCTTCTGTCTTAAAACCATAGGTCCATTCATGTGGAATCAAACTAGACCAAATGGGTTATAAAAATGGGCATGAGTAGTTTGTGCTAATAAGGACACTTTGGAGAAAATTATATCCCATTTGAAAAATATTAAAATATTAAAAGCAAATATTTTACTAGTATACTAAACACACACATATTAAAGCTCTTCACTAAATGTTCCATCCATATTATAATTGACATTTCTGCCAGAATTTTTTTTTTATTTGAAAATACAATATGACTGTATGGTTTTTGCTTTTTCACACCTGTCTTTTTCTGTTTTCTTAAGTGTATAAAGTCATTCCTCTTTCTGTTCTTTCTGCTGCCCGTAGACACCCCAGTCACCAGTGTCCTTGATCTGATAGTGGCTTCTATTGGTCAGTCCCACATAAGAATAACAGCTCACCAGGACAAGATCCACATAGGGCGAGGCCACCAACACCATGTTCTGTACGAAGCTGAAGGATCTCAAGATCACAGGGGAATGTCCTTTTTCCTTACTGGCACCAGGGCAGGTCCCTAAAGAGCCAGCAGAAGAGGTAGCTGGAAGCTCCGAGAGCGGCACAGCCACTCTGACCATCTGTCAGGACGTCCCTGAAAAGAATGTACAAGGAAGTATTCCTCAAAGAAAGACCAGTCGGAGCCGTGTCTACCTCCACACTTTGGCAGAGAGCATTTGCAAACTGATTTTCCCAGAGGTAAGTGCTTGCCCTTTAGAGATTTTACTGATATTTTGAACATTGTAAAAGAATGTATTTTGAAGGAAGATGTAAGCACTTGCTTTCTCACTTTCAAGGCTGTAATAGATGTAGACTATTTCCTGGAAATGTATAAAAACATGCCTTTGAAACAATCATATTCTTAAGTTGTGTTTATCTTAAAACATTTAAGATCTTAAGATTATCATGCTAAGTGAAATAAGTCAGACAGAGAAAGTTGAGAACCATATGATTTTATTCAAATTGAGCAACAAACAAACAAAAATTCATAGACACAGACAAAAGTTTAGTGGTTACCGGAGGGAACCGGGTAGAGTGGGGGAGGTAGGTAAGGGTAAAAGGGTCAAATATATGATGACAGAAGATTTGACTTTGGGTGGTGAACACACAATACAGTGTACAGATGATGTATTATTGAGTTGTACACTTGAAACCTATGTACTTTTATTAACCAATGTCAATTCAATAAACTTAATTAAAAATGTTTAAGATCTTGAATTCTTTTCAGAAGTTTCCTGCACTCTCACAAGCTTTGAGCAACTGCTTAACCCCCTTAGCCTCAGCTTTCTTATCTATAAAATAGAAATGATAACAATTTCTACCCTTTGGAGTTTTAATGAGCGTGAAGAAAGTAATCCATAGCTCTTACCATACCATAAATGTCTAGTAGTAGTTAGCTATTAAATTAAATTCCTTGAAGAACAACTTATCTTCTGCAGTATTTTCTTCTTTTCATTCCAAAGAGCATCATGCATTCCCTGACAATTCGTTGAAGTGGGAAATCTCCCTTTTCTTGCTGGTTGTGAGTCTGAAGTTTCTACTCAAACCAGGCTTGATCTGCTCCTTTGGGTCAGGGTCATGGTGCTGTCGTTGCCAATACCTATGTGTTGTTAGATATATATCTGTGACTGGCTTAGTCTAATGCTGTTTTGAGGTATGGTGCACCTTCTGTTAATCCACCTTTAAGAAAACTCTGGAGATAGGGCATATACCTAATTAGGTCAAATGTCTGAGGAAGAGAAGGGGCATGCAGAGAGCCCCCTCCCCTCGCAGGGCTAAAGAGAACAGCAGCTGAAAGTCTTCAAGATTTCTTCCTCACTCTGTCAGTGTTCAGTTTTATAGAAACTCACTTAACTCATGAGATTGGACATTGGTATGATCAGATTCCAGCTATCGTAATGCACTGATAGTTTTTAATGAACTCAGCACAGAAGCACAGAAGAACCACACATAGACGTGCTGCCTTTTAGGAATGAAAGGAACTTCAAATCATTCTTGTCTCACTTCCAGCAAGGGCTAGGGGGGTTAAGAAACTTGAGCAGAGTCACACAGCTTTTGAAGGGCAGAGCAAGCAATTACTGCTTTCAAACAATATGAGCTCAAGCGACTGAGAAGAAAGAGACTTGAATTGAAGCTTGAAGGATGGATAAGTTGGAATGAACAGAATGTTGAAGGAATTTATTTCAAGTATAATATTACTCAAAAGTACTTTGGTTAATGCCCTCTGAAATAGAAATATTTAATTATTCTCAGCCCACGTTAGACACTAGGCAGCAAGCTTTGGCTGGGGTGAGGGATGCAGCCCTTGTCAAGGAGTCGGTTGGCATCACAGTTTGGGAGGTGGTTGGTACTCTCATTTCCAAGGACAGAGTGAGATGCCTGGAGTCAAACAGATGGTGATCATAGGGAAGCTGGAGAGCCTCCATGCGTCCTCTGAGTCTTGTCATTACCACGTTGGCTTCATTAGTTTGTTTGATTAATTTTGAATTCCTAAAGTAGAAGTCATACACATATTGGAAGCTCTTTTAAAAACATTCTGATTACCAGTATAAATAATATTTTACTTTTTTCTTTGTCTTTATTTAGAATAATCTGTGTTGTTTGTGAACTCATAGGAGTGTTCATTAAGATTTGACTGTACCATCATTTGGAGACAGAGGAGGCAAGGCTATAAGAATTCTAAGAGGCAGAAGGGGTACAATTGACATTAATGACTAGAACTTTCTCTGATGACTGAGGCCATTTGCCTTATAATAGTGAATGTCCTAACGTTGGATGCATTTGAATTGGGTAATAATAATCTAGATTACTTCATCAACTGTCCAAATGTCTACATGTCTTTAATTAAATAGCACTTTTTTCCCAATTGTTTTTTAAGTAGACGAATTTCATTCTAGCATACTGTTTAGTTTCAGTTCTATCAGTAATCCAAAGGAAGACACTCAAAATATCATATGACAGCATTATAGTTCTTATTTTAGAGAATCAGATTTAACTCCCCAATTTGTGTTTTTAATTGGGGGGCAAGTATTAACATTCATTATTCTTAGCAAATTTAAAGTGAGAGATGTCATTCCAAGGTTGTGGGATAGTAGGGCTGACTTAGAAGGGTCTTGTTGGTCTTCTAAAGCAAACTTTTCACTTTGAAGAAATTGAGGCACATAAAGTTAGGCCACTTGCTTTAAGTAAAAGAGATAACTGGAGAGATGGAAAGTTCTCTGAATCTCATTCATAATTCTGTTATAATATTGTTTGCACATTTTTCATGGTTATTCTTCTCCAATAATCCTGCAGGCTTTCAGGCATAGTGTCTTTAGGAGCTTGCATTGTGGTGTTAGCCACAGTTGTAGTACGTCAGAAACCACTAACTAAATTGAATCAATTGAATCGAATAAGCTTAGATAAATGATTTTACCCCAAATCAAAGAACTCGTGAGACTAAGAAGATCTGAGGAGAATCTTGAAGTTTCTAAGTGGGTTCTATCATATTGGGTTGCAAGAAGAAAAAAAGAAACAATTATAATTTATCCTTATGAATTGAACTATCTATGGTGTAGAAAATAATTAAAAACTGCAGAAAAGTTGAAAATCAACTGAAATAATTAAACTACACCAATGAACTTCCATTCGGTGTTCATAGCAATATAGAGCCAAATAGCAATTATACCTGAAGTATTAATAACATATAGTGTATTTGTGAGAAAAGTACTTGTTTTAACAATGAATACCTATCTATCCTTTATCAAATCAAAAGATAATGGTCAAGAGAAACAAACTTGAGAGCAACACTTTATTTACTTTTAGGGACAGGCCCCCTTCTGTGAATCAGAAATTCCATGATTCACAACACTTCAAGGTCTGAGGATCATGGATGTAAGCAGAGCCCATTTTTCCAAAACTCGACATTGGAGACTTTCCCAAATAAAAGAGAGTTTGAGTGCTGGGCACTAAAAATCTACAGGAGACTACTACACACTATTTATATGTTTTGGATTGCAGGGAACTAATTTTGAAGAAAATATTGGATTTAGTCCTAAAATACCACATTAAACTAAAAATCAGCGTATAGAATTGTTGGGATGTGGAGTATCTGACTTTCCTAGAGCAATCACCTGATGGTTGATTGTGTCATGAAGCTCTGAGTTTGGCTGTGCATGACAGGTCTCACTTAACGTTGAGTCCTGCCTGTGGCCAATGGCGTATTGTCTATTTGCGTCATCCCGGGATTTGGGCTAAGGATATATTAGGGGAGCTACAGATCCAAGGCAGGAAACTCTATACACCAGTGGCCTTTACCAATAAACGTTTTGCCTGGTAAGCTTGTGGGTTTTGTTTTGGACTAATAACAGTTTTCCAGAGGATCGGTGGTATATTATGAAAGTAGATATAAGTCTGTTAACCCATAATATCACTAAAGTTTGCTATTAAAGCTTTGCTAGGACTTCAACGCTTTTTTCTTTAGAAAAACAAAGTCCGATTTAAAATGCAAAGTCAGGAATACAGGTGTGCCACCAACCCCAGCAATGGGAAGAGGGACCATTTCTCCTCCCCTCTGACAATGACAGCATTTATGATAGGTGGAAAACACTAGAAAAATAAGTTTCTGGTGAGAGTGAGAAGGAAATGAAAGGTCAAGAAGTGTACCTGAGGGTTTAATCTGAGGTAAAAAGAGAGAGAACGATGTCTCCACTAGAACTCGGGAGGAGGAAGGAACAATTCTTCGTGGCAAAATCAGATGAATTGTCTTTTCTCATTGCCCATCAGAAGCTCCTAGTCAGAGCAGCAATTGCTATGTAAACAAATCTAATTCAAATGATCTAAACTCATATATAGACAAGCTAAAAGAGTAACACCTCTGTACTTGGCTCTATTGCTTCATAATTTTATAGATGAAGCCTTCAAAACTGAATTGCTGACAGGAGTGTCATTTATTCATTCACTTCAATATATATTAACCATCTCCTATGGCCAAATACTGTTCTAGGTACTGGACAGAGAGTGGTGGACAGAATAGGTATTTCCTTCCCTTTTGGAGTTTCTACTCTAGTGGAGGACGTAGATAATAATAATGCTAATGCTAATAATAATAATAATGATAATAATAATAGTGGGAGGTGGCAAATGCATGAAGGAAAACTGAAAGCTCGTGCACAAAGGCAACGACCCCTTTGCCCACGTGAATATGCTTTGCAGAAAGAAAGAACTCACAGCTACCCATGGTTTCATGAGTTTTAAACCACCTGAATATGCTGGTGTTAGTTAGTACTGCCAGAGTAACTGTCTACAAAGTAAAAAGACCTTGAGAAAGTCAAGGTTTTCAATCACCCTGGCTGATCTACCTCATTTACAGTTTTCAATTTAACATACCTTTTTTCTTTCACGGAAAACACTGCTGAGAAATGTGCCCATACTTTCCTTCCCGAATGTGTTTCTCCCCAGCCAGACATCCTGTCCCTTGCTATCATGTAGGTCCCCAGAACCTGGCTCAGAATTTGCCCACTGGATCAGTCTCCCACCAGCCTTTGTTTCATTCTGAGGCAGATGTATCTCCTTATTGGACAGATCAGAGAAGTTGTTTTACATTTTAAAATTAAGTTTTCTATTTGCATTATTTTTAAATAAATTTCAAATTTCTTTTCTAAGCTCTATAACGCACATTAAAACAGAAAGTCCTTTTCATAGCTTATTAAAACAGAAGCTTGGTCTGTTTTGCTGAACTCTACTGCCTCACTTGACCAGTGGAAACTCTAAAAGAGATATAAATAGTTCTTAAGGAGAAAGGAATTTCCCATCTTGGAACATAGCCAGAAAATTTTGCACTCTCCTCTGGGTAAACTACAGAAAGACTTAAGTTATATATATATACATTAAATACATATGATTTCTAAATGAAGCGCAAAAAAATAAAAACTCGGCAGCACTGCTTAACCATGCTCTGCTTCCTCTTATTAACTAGTTTGACACAACAAGCTGTTAAAAAGATTAATAGATCATCAACAAATGTTTACAAGTATGGAGACTTATATACAAATATCTTACAGTACAGGAAAATTCATGAAATACTCAAACATCAATCAAAGGGAGTAAAATCGTAAGTATTTGGTGAAGACTACCGGTTCAAAGAAAGGAAATTAGTACAAGTAAGGATAAATCCAAGGTTGGTTTCAAATCAAGGATCTTGGTGACAGATTGGATTTAAGGGATAAAAGGAAGAGGAAAGAGAGGGTAGCTCCAGAGTTTTCCAGACCAGGAGGTCTAAATGACACATGAAACAGTAATATGTAGTTAAGGGTGGAGAGTCACTGGCGTGGCTGGGCACGGAATTTGTGAAAGGAGCGGGTTCTCTTGGCTTTAGCCATTCCGAGGGGATTTCCTGACCCGGAGAAAGTGATGCCCAGGATTCCTTCATGGGAGACCTGACATTACCAAACTAGAGTCTTCTGTTTGGACTCCGGCTCAGCTTGACCTTGTTCTGTGGCCATCAGTGAGACCGCACACCGAGGACAGAGCCTGTGGGCCACAGTCCACGTCCAATCTCAAATTAATCTGACCTTGTTGTTTCTTCCCAGGTTTGAAGAAACCCATGGAAAACCAGTTCCACTTTCCAAAGTGTAAATTCATGACACTTATTAAAGTAATAACATATTTGCCTCTTCACAAGAAACTTGCAGGACGAATTTTTAAAATATATATTTTCAAATAATTTATTATTGTTTAATGGAATGTTTAAACCTTTCTTTTCTATTTTCAGTTTGAGCGGCTGAACCTTGCACTTCAGAGAACACTGGCAAAACACAAAATAAAAGACAGCAGGTAAATTGAACCACTTTAATTGTGTGATTTCCTGTTACTGTCACTGGTACTGCTGCTAATAACCAACACTCAGTGAAAGTGGCAGCATGTTTCGCATCCTCGCGGTGTGCCAGAAACGGGACCATGTTTTAGCTGCCACTAATCTGAAAGTGAGTGCATTCATTTTTCACATTTCATGCACCACTGAACTCAGGTTTACATAAAATGTTTAAGATTTTAAAGGGGTTTAGGAAAAGGCAGAACTGAGTTTCCAACCTGGGTTTTTCAGAGCCCGTGATTTTAACCATGTTGCCATCTACCGTTGCTTTTAACAAGCTTCCGTAGACCTCTTCTTTTCTAATAAGGGGTGATTTCTAAAATACTTAAAGGTAAGGCATGTTAAGTTAACAGGCACTCAGTACAGACTCTTGGCTTGAAGGATATGCTGGAAGGTTGGAGCAGAGTCCCAGTGCCTCCTTTCTCCAACTTTGCCCCCCACCTTTACCCTGTTCCCCAGGTTAAACTTTTAATTGCTGCATCAGGAGGAGATGGAAAAAGTATTAAGGCAGGTAACTCGGGGGTCTGGGACGGCAACTATTCATTCTTAGGCATGTGTTTCAGTATTTTCATAACCAGTTCGGTTTCACTGGTGTGCACTGGTTGAATATCAGTTTTGTTTATACTTTTTCTTGTATTCTGTCTTTGATATTTTCTTTAAGAAAGCTTTCTGTAGAGGCTGAACATATAATTTTAAAAATCTGATTTGTGGAGTCAATTTTTCAAGTATATCTTGGCACAGTTACTGCTGTGGATAACTTGATTTGGCCTTGTTTTTGATTCCCTGAAATCTTAAGGATTATTTCATCTGTAAATGATAGAATAAATACTTGAGTTCAGATTTACAAACTTGAACATTGAAGTTTTGCAAACCAATACCATTGTCAGGAATATTTTATAAATTCATTCATCTCTCTACAACTCATGAGTGAATAATCTATTCTGTGGATTATCTATGCTTAATTTTCCTTGCTGACTAGCTGGTCCCAGACTGCAGGCAGCAGGCTGCCAAGAAGGGGTCACAGACAGGTCCAGAAGAAGAGAGTGTGAATCCATGTGTTTGCCAGAAGCTTTGTTTACACGAGTGATATGAAAAGCATTCCAGAATGCCTCTGACCTTAATTCTCAGTCAAGCTGATAAGATACCCACAGTCATTGTAGCTGAGCTACTGTGTCTGTCTGCTTAAGTCCTTGGCAGCCGGTCTACTCAAAATTTATTCTCAGGGCTTTGTGTTCTGAAATGTTCCTAAGATAGATGCAGGCATTCCATTAGGATGTGTTCCCAGCAGTGTATCTCTTTAAAAATCTCAAAACTAAACAAACAAAAAATCATTTTATTTGGAAATCTTGACAAATTTTTTACTACCCTGATTTCTTAGAGTTGACCGTACTTTTAAATTGTCCTAGTGATAATCATTAAGTTGTTGAAATAAAATGAGGGACTTTTTTTTCTCAGAAGAGTGCCTGCTGATATGCCAAATGGCTTCTCTCTGCTTTGCTTTTTCAGTTCTCGGGTATGCTCTTTGTTTCTGTTTTTTTTTCTCCCCATCTTCTTTTTGGCAAAGAAGCTGCCATTTCTATTGCTCTCATGTTACCAACTGCTGAACACACCTTAACTCCTTTTGCGTGTACTGCTTATTATCTTATGTGACTTGAAAAGCAAAACAAAAACAAAGAAAAAACAAAAACCAGTTTATTAAATTATAAACAGTCCCTGAATGAAAGAAAGACAGGAGCCCCCTCCCCCCACCTCTTATTTAAGTGAATGAGTTTTAGTACAGCCATTCTGATAGCTCTCTGGGTTACTTGTTTCTTTTTCTAGGACCTTTTGTTAACATCTTATGTATGAACTCATGGCTGGTGTGTGTGTACGTGTGTGTTGTACACACACACATTTGCTGGTGTACATGTAAGATCACACCTCTCTATTTTATTTTGAAGGTTCAGATATGGAACTTATTTTGAAATGCACTATGTGCCATTTGGACTTACTATATATAAGCTTTGCTCACATCTCATATCATGAGTGCTAGGAGTTGGCAGAATTGTAGTTCTCTGAGCAGATTTTTTCTTATTGCTTAGAATAAAATAGAAATTGCTTAAATGACAAAAAGAAGCAAATCTAAAGACTGATTAGTATAAAATAATATATATCAAGGGTTTTGGCGATGGAAGGAGACTAGATATTGGTGGTGAGCACACAATAGATTATACATATGCTGTATTATAAGGACATATACCTGAAACTTATATAATGTTATTATTAACTAATGTCAACTCAATAAATTAATATATATATCAAGGGCTTTGGGGATGTCTGGAATCATTCTAGGTAATATCACATAGTGATCTGCAACCAATTTAGATAAGAAAATATTTCCACTTAGTATTTTAAATAATTATAAGCAGTATGCCTTTATGTTATTAAGTAAGTAGCCTGAACACTTTTCCTTCTTGGAAATATTTCCTTTTGTTATATTTCCTTCTTGGAAATATTTCCTTTGTTTTATTGAAATCTGTTCAGAATTTTAGATTTATGCCTGTTTTTAAACTTGGCTTGTCTAAAGGTAAACTGAACCACAAATACAACTTGAGTGTCTATTAAATATGATTTGGTAATTTAGCAAATTTGCTCATAATCAATCATCACTATCAGAAATCATCACAAAATAATGAGGCAAACATGAATTGACAAGTTGTCCAGTTGAAATTGTCAGAGCCGTCTATCAATCAAAATGTATGCCACTATATTATAAACTGTGCAATAGACGCCAATGCAGTAATTGAATAAAAAATAAAATTCTTTAGTTACTAATTTTTACACAAGATCAAGGATAACAGTTTAATGTAGTGATGTCTGAAAGTCAAATATATAGAACCTAAAACTCGAAAGCAGGGTATACTATATGTTTGCTTTAGGAAAGAAGTATTGATGCTTAAAAGTGAAATCCATCAATATGTAGGTGTTTCTTCTCAGTTGGATTATCAAAAAAAGTGGTTTGCTTTATAACCATCTCCTTCTGGCCCATTTTATACTCCGGGTTTCCTGCCAGTGCAGGCCTTTGTAATATTATCCTATATAAAGTTCTCCTAAAAGGTAAGTGCAGGTCATAAAAAATGATGAAACACTCTAAATCAGGTATATTTGGGAGGTTTCTAACATTGTTTTGGATTGTAAGTGTAACTGCTCTTTTCCTGTAACAGACTTAATAGTCACGATTCACCTTTACAGAAAATGTAGTTTAAATTCTTTTCTGTCATGATTTCTGCATTTTATAATCTTAAATTTTAGCATTCGTCAGTTTATAATTTAAAATATTGAAATAATTTCAGGAAATCTGTGGAAAGAGAAGACTTTGAAAATATAATTGCAGACCACGCACTTGCAGCAGGTAATAAAATTGTTTAAGTGTATGTAATTAGAAAATACTTATATGACTAATATTTTGCCTGTAAACTAATATTTTTTATTAGTAGAAAATACTTAACTCCAGAACTAATATTTTCTCCTAAAATATTTATATTTATTTGGCAACTTCCAATATGAAGTGTTCAATATTGTATATTGTGTTGACCTAAAGACGAACTCTTTTTTTATACTATATATTTTTGTTTGACCTAAAACATTTCTTCTTTTTATATTGTTTATTTGCTGAAAAGTAGATAAAGCTGCATGGGAAGCTGACTCAGACATTTATATACTTTGATCTTGAAGTTAAACTAAGCATTCTTTGCTTATGTGTGAAAAATCGTACTCAACAAAGTGAAAGAATTTTTTTAAAAGTTGGTAAACAATCATGGGAAAAAGGCTAAACAGTGCTTTCATATTAATAATTAGTTTAGAAAAACAAGGATATAGTAACTTTGTCATACTTTCCTTTTCAAAGTTTTAGTAGATGGAATAACAGGTTAAATTTTTCTAAAAGTACAAGATATTAAGAATTGAATAACATTAATGATGATGATGTTGATGATGGCTAACTTATATTGAACTTTTCCTAGGAGCCAGGCACTATTCTAAACATCTCCACATATCACAATAGTGCTGTGAAGAGGGGACTATTGTTTTTCCTAAGTTACAGATGAGAAAAATGTAGTACACAGAGTTTAAAGAATAAAAGAAGTTAGGGAAGAAGTTGTAGAAAGTAAATAATATATTTCAAACATCCATTTGAGTAACATTAAACAACAAGAATGCAGAAAAAAATTATTTTAATCTTCTTTAAAGAAAAATGACATAATTGAGTTTCCTGACTAGTGATTTCAAATTAATTCTCGTGTCTGAAGCTTATACTCCTGGATGCTCTGAGAGGGTGAAAGAGATGCACTGGTTTTATTGTTAACGAGGTAGGAGAACTTTTTTGGAAATGGACCTTTTTCTGTAATCTCAATAGCTCATTTATTGTTAAGTTTAAAGGAAATAAAAAGTTGTGTGTTATACCGAATCGATCATTCTTTTTTAATTAACTGAGATTTTTATTCAAAGTTACTAGAATTTTAGTACCTAATCTATGTAGATTATTTGACTATAGATGGTTAATTTGGGTTGGAACTCTTACTACCATAGATAAAGAGAACTAAATCATCAAATAAAATCATGTTAAATATGGTAGTAACAGCATAGCTCTGCCAAGATGACACATTTGATATGGCAGAAAATGTATTCTGTGCTTTCAGGGGTCCCAGCGGAGATCATCAAAGAATCTCTCGGTGAAGAACTTTTTAAAATATGTTATGAGGAAGATGAACACATCCTGGGTGTGGTTGGAGGAACCCTCAAAGATTTTTTAAATAGCTTCAGCACCCTTCTGAAACAGAGCAGCCACTGCCAAGAAGCAGAAAAGAAGGGCAAGCTTGACGACGCCTCCATTCTCTGCCTGGATAAAGATAACGATTTCCTAAATGTTTACTATTTCTTCCCTAAGAAGGTCACGTCCCTGATTCTTCCCGGCGTCATTAAGGCAGCTGCTCACATCTTGTACGAAACCGAAGTAGAAGTGTCGCTAATGCCTTCCTGCTTCCGCAACGATGGTGGCGAGTTTGTCAATCAGCCCTATTTGTTATACTCCGTTCATGTCAAGAGCACCAAACCATCCTTGTCCCCGGGCAAACCACAGTCCTCACTGGTCATTCCCGCATCTCTCTTCTGCAAGACATTTCCGTTCCATTTCATGTTTGACAAAGATATGACAATTCTGCAAGTTGGCAATGGCATCAGGAGGCTGATGAACAGGAGGGACTTTCAAGGAAAGCCAAATTTTGAAGAGTACTTTGAAATTCTGACTCCAAAAATCAACCAAACGTTTAGCGGGATCATGACTATGTTGAATATGCAGTTTGTAGTCCGAGTGAGAAGATGGGATAACTCTGTGAAGAAATCTTCAAGGGTAAGAGAAAGATAACAGCATTTTGAATATGAAATAATTTCATATTTAATGACCAGGAACAAAAAGGAACAAATATATGCATCACTTCAAACATTTTGATAAAACATTTAGGTTTAAAACAATTATAGAATACTTTTACGACTGGAATAAATTTAAAACAAGATCGTTTCTGAATTCATTTCCTTGCTTACTTGGACTATTACTTCACAAATATTCACTGAATGCAATCTATCTTCTAAAATATTTATGAAGTAATTACAACTGAATTAGAAAAGTATGTATATAAATATATGTTTTTAATCATCATCAATATCTGACTTAATTTGGAATAATAAGAGATATTGTCCTACAACAAACAAAAACTACGTGGTTCTTATAGGACAGAACTAAATGGATTTTTAAGTCAATGATTAATATACATGGAGAAAAACCAATAACTCGTTTGACTCATTATTAGAGAATGGGGGAAAATGTTCTGTCATCTCATGGTAGCGAACTTTGGTTATTACTTAGTCTTCGGAGAGGTTTGCTAAATCATAGCTGACAGTACAAGCAAAGCTATAGAGGCTTATGATGCATATAACTTTTAGACACGCATAACCCAGCAGCTTCACCGTTTGTTCCCAAGAATATAACAGCTTTATTACTTTTTTGTCATAAAAATTCTATAGCTAAATGTTTAAATAATTGGTAATACTTAAAAATGTCCATTGCAGCAAAAAATCAAAAACATTAGTTACGTATATTTTTGTTTAAAAATAAAAAATACTGTCTATAATTTCCTTTTTATTACTAAGCAATATATTTTGGGCATCCTTCCTTGTTATTACGTATAGGTCTCTTTCACTTTTCAAGGTCTGTGTAGTATAGCCCATTGTAAGGTTTTCGTCTACCTTATTTAACCATCTGTTATTGAAGGACATTTGGGTCGTTTTTGAGTCTTTGCTGCAGTGAACATAAATATGAATATTTATCCACACTCATCCAAGTAAATCTTGTGATCTGGGATGATCACTTGAAGCCTCACTTCTTTCAAGGCACCGTTGGTACACCATTTCTGCTGGCTGCTACTATCAAAAAAATTTAGTAACAAAAGTATCAGCATGCCACTTAGTGAGAAAAGCCTAAAAACGAGAATTTTTTTGCACTGCACATTGAAAATTATGATTTCTGTGTAGAGTTTCCTCCAACATATTCTTCAAATGTCTGCATGCATTTTAGACATGCAAATTGGAATTATGAGAGGGCATATTTTTCTTTGTCAGTAGGTAGGGAAAAAAAACAAGTTTAGTACAAAAGGAATATTACTGTATCTACTTCCTCTTCTTTTGTCTCAAAAAGGTGTTGGAAACTTGAATAAGCCACAACAATTGAACACACAATGTAAATACATACATATGCCTTACTGTTAAAACGTACAGCTGAAACTTACCAGATTTCGTTAACCAATATCGCCATAACAAATTAATTAATTAATTAAAAAAAAAAAACAATTAGTTCTCCTTTGCTTCACAGGTTATGGATCTCAAAGGCCAAATGATCTACATCATTGAATCCAGTGCGATCTTGTTCTTGGGGTCACCTTGTGTGGACAGATTGGAAGATTTTACAGGACGGGGGCTCTATCTCTCAGACATCCCAATTCATAATGCTCTGAGGGATGTGGTCTTGATAGGAGAACAGGCCAGAGCTCAAGACGGACTGAAGAAGAGGCTGGGCAAATTGAAGGCCACCCTTGAGCAAGCTCACCAAGCCCTGGAGGAGGAGAAGAAGAAGACAGTTGATCTTCTTTGCTCTATATTTCCCTGTGAGGTGGCACAGCAGCTGTGGCAAGGGCAAGTTGTGCAAGCCAAGAAGTTCAGTAGCGTCACCATGCTTTTCTCAGACATTGTTGGGTTCACTGCCATCTGCTCCCAGTGTTCACCACTGCAGGTCATCACCATGCTCAACGCACTCTACACGCGCTTTGACCAGCAGTGTGGAGAGCTGGATGTCTACAAGGTAGGGGTGGAGCAGGGCGATGCCTGTTTTCCAGGCAAGAGTCCCAGAGAACAAGCCTTGCAACTAGGGCTTGTGTTCTAATGCAAACGAAGGGCTTTCTCTGCAGGGCCATCCTCAGAGCCACTTCTTGGGAGCAGGCATTCTACATGAGTCATGTGGGTGTTCCCCAGCCAGAAATAGCTCTGTCTGCTCAGAAACAAAGATAATTCTGTGAAAGGACTGTTACATTGTCTTCCCAAAGAATAAGCATAGAATACTAGGATGATAGACTGAGTGGAGGATAGCGTGTAAGACCCATGAAAAGATAAAGTTTAAAAGCCAATGAACCTGACACTTGACTGTGGAAACTGAGTTGAGCTATTGAGATAATTCAAAGTATGGCTTGTACGAGGAAAACTTACCCCTTGTTCTGTATCTGTAAAAGTAAAGAGGGTTATTTAAATCATTTAATTTGATTAATTCAATATAGAGTTGACATGATGCTTTTCATGGCCAGTTAACAGCAATCCAAATTACCTACTTAAGTCATTATTATGGTAGAGAGGCCAAGGTGGAGATGTATGAATCAGAGAGTCTTGTCTTCAAACCTTGTCTCTATCTGACCTGCTTTGCAAGCTGAGAAAGTTAACATTTCTCATTTCTGAAACAGAAAATATTATCCACCCACAGAGTTTACATGCATGCATAATATACATTATTTCTCATAATCTTTATGCATAGGACTATTGAAAATATTATGGTAAATAGTATCTCTTACTCATCATGCAGCAGGATTTGAGTACCTATGATGTACCAGGCATCATTCTAGGTGCTGGGGATGCATAGTGATTGTCCCCCATAGTGTTTTTTAAAAATGTGACTATTATCAATAGAACTAATGAAGAGATTTCATGTTCTGTCTGCTTCGTTAGAATTAAACCATAATTTTTACCGATTTAAAGTAGTTTGCATTGTTTTAGATATTGGCATTAAGAATAAAACATACTTTTCATTTGTGTGGCTTGAATCATCTCTTAATTTGCCACAGGACAATCTTACACTTCAGAGCTTAACCCAACATAAAATAAATAATCGAGGAGGAAACAAATATTATTTATGGGAATACATAAACCCCTATTTTTTTCTAATCTAGATGCTAGAAGTAAAAAAATGTATCTTTTAATAATTTCTAACAGGAAATTCCAGACAGAGCCATGATCCCTTGGTACAAAAATAGGTTCATGTATAATTACAGATAAAATAATTGGCTTCAGTTAGGTTAAGCTTGATGGCCTCTTGTGGAATTTACTGTATTTATTTGTAGACAGGTTCTATTTTGAGAATATCTCCTCTCTCAGAATTGAGAAAGAAGTCTTGCTGTCCTTTGCAAACTTCTGTGATTGATAGCAGTAGTTCTCTTCTACAAATTTCCAATTGATTACTTCTATCAAGTATCCAGAATCCAGCCTCCTTACTGCAAGGATTCCCTGTTATCCCAACTGCAGCTCAAGCTAGTGAATCATCTTCTTTACCAGTCCTTATTTTCACTTCTCATTTTGCATGAAAATATCCGGAGACAGCTGTAAATAAATAACAAAAGGTCTTAATCATAAAATAAATTTAAGATATACAGAATGCATAATCACAGGCTGACCTATGAGTGTCATGATTCCCAGGGAATAGTTAAGTTTATTTATTCCAGGACCTGATTTTACCAGGACTTTATTTAATTTCATTTTCTTTCAATCTTTTGATCATCTTTTTGCGTTAGTATTTATTGAGTAAAAATACCTACTGGACATCTAGCTTTTGCCAGCGTGGGTGGGGCATGATCCCTGTGAGAAGAGTTCTCATGTGGGGCGAGGAGTGACAGGGTGGCACTGACAAATGTTAGATTCCCGTAAGACACGATGAAGGTCCCGCTGCACTCAAGTCTGCTACAGTCGCCTGGAGGATAGGCACCTAACTCCAAGTAGGGCTGAGGGTACTGCTTCTTCTAATTAGTAACACTTATTGATCGCCTGTAATATGTTAGCCTTTTTGTTAAGCACTTCTTATGTTTTCATTTCCAAGGACAAGCTTACATTAGGCATTGCTGTCTGGTTCATTTATTGGTGAATATACTGGGCCCTGGTGATATAGGAGTTAATAAAATAGACAAGCTGAGAGAGCTCATGTTCTACTAGGGGAAAGAAGGACAATAAACAAATGAGTAAATTTATAGTATTCCAGGTGGTGTAATATTCTGAAGGAAAAATAGAGCAGGTTAAGGGGGAGAAGGGCAAAGGTAGGAGGTGACTGCTGTTTCACAGAGGGTGGTCGGGATAGGCCTTTCTCATAAGGCACTGTTTCAGTAGGGGCTGAAGGAAATGAGGGATGAGCCAAGTGATTATCTGTGGGAAGATTATTCCAGTCAGTGGAATAGCAATTGCTGGCATGTCTGGTCCATTTGAGGGAAAGCAGGAGGCCAGTGGCATTGGAACAAAGTGAACAAGAGAGAGAATTAATAGGTAAAGCCAGGGATTAGCAGAAAGACAGATCAAGAAATTACTATATGTCTGTGTCTCTTTTTTTCCTTTCGCACCTGCATTTCTCCATACTAGAAGTTTTGGATAAGAAGAGTAAGATGATATGATGTTACAATAAATATTTAAAGGAAGAGGAAAATGCAGCTGTTATAATTTGGTGAATTATTTGTGGAATTAAATTAACTATTAGCTTTTTGTAGCCAGTATCGAAGACAGATAATGTTGAGATTTCTGCTATATGGTTCTTAATTTCTGCTTTATGTTATATGGGATGATTCTTTCTGAGCTTTAATTTGTAATAAGGAAAATCTGTGATGTGTAGGTGGAGACCATTGGCGATGCATATTGTGTGGCTGGGGGATTACACAAAGAAAGTGATACCCATGCCATTCAGATAGCACTGATGGCCCTGAAGATGATGGAGCTCTCTGATGAAGTCATGTCTCCCCATGGAGAACCGATCAAGGTAAGGCAGATCATGTATTGTCCAGGAAATGAGAGTAAGTGCTAATTAGCTTGTTATCTAAAGAATGGTGTATCAGTCGGGATTATTTGCTGGGAGCGAACTCTCTTATTTTAGAGGGAAAAAATGTACTACATGGTACTGAATGGTTTACAGAGTCATTGAGAGGACCAAAGACGCCAGCTACAAGCTGAGCTTTCAAAAAATGGCTCCCAAAGCCACACTTCAGAACCACTGATATTTCCATGATCAGGAAGTTGGCTCCAGAACTATTCCACCACAGCCACAGTCAGGAAACTGCCTTTTTTAGAAAGCTGCTGCCTCTACTGCTGGCCACGGGACAAAACTGCACCTGCTATAATTTGAATTAGCAACATGGAAATCTGGCATCATGACATGCATAAAATGAGTGACTGGGAACTAGGCTTTCTGCTAAACATGTCATGGAAAACCCAAAGACTTCTACAATTGTGCCTGCACTTGGAAGTGACAAAAGTACAGTCACAGCAGAAATCCTGGCTTCCAAATCTCATGCAAGTGTATCCGATCCACCAAACCTAAATACACCTAGAAATTGCCACTGAGTTTGGAAAATCTAATTTTTAGTTTTCCGATCTCTGTAGGGGTGGACATTACAGTAGAATTGTCCAGGGCATATAAAATTCAAAAATTTCTAGGTGAGCCAGATCCCTGAATAATATTGTAATGCAAATGAGAAAATAAAATTAACATGCTAGGGATTGGTTTAATAGATAGAACGTGAACAGGTTATCGTTATTTGTGGCACTAGTGGTGAATCTGCCACTTAATTTTTATCAATTGATGACCTTCAGAAATAGACCTTTGATATAGAATCCTACCTACCTGGTATGCTATAAGCTATGTAGAGAAGAAAGAAAAAATTAAACAAAACTAGAATATTTAGAAATTTAGTTTTGGCTCTCTTTTTTTTAAAGATAGTTCTAGATTATTCTGTTTTATTATTAGATATTTTTTTTTAGAAGAAAAAGCACTAGGCGATAATAATAATACAATAAAAAAAAGGTACTGCTACTCTTGGCTCTCTTTAATGTTAATGCAAACCATACATGTTAGCCTTCATAAATGTTTTCTAGGTTGACTGTCTACTCAGTTATATATTGTGATGTGACATACTGCCATATGTTTACTACTATAAAAACACGAACCTTTTATTATGTGTGGATTCTGTGCATCAGAAATTTGGATGAGGCATCGCAGGAATACCTCACCTCTGCTCACAGTATCTGATACTCCTGCTGAGAAAGTCAAATGATTGAGGGCATATGGAATAGTTGGATGCACCACTTGGACTGAAGGACCCATTCCAAGATGGCTGCTTCACTTACCTGCCTGGCTGCTTGTTGGGGTTGGCTGAAAGGTTGGGCTCAGCTAGGACCATTCGCCTATGTGCTTACATGCGTTATAACCTCAGAGTGCTCTCAGTTCTTATATTCTGGTCAAAGCAATCTTACACCTGCACAGAGTGGAGGAGACTTAGACCCCATGTCTTAATAGGAAGAGTGTATGATAATTTGCAACTATGTTTTAAAAGCATCACAGTTTCTGACTTTTCCAGACTTAATGTCTGTAATTGCACTTTTTAAAAGAAGGTAATTATGCAACCTCCCCCGCACCTCTGCTTTTTGTGAGAGAACTTGTGGCTTCAAAGTACATTTTTTAAATCAGCAATTTGCAATTGTATTTTGTAATTAAGACATATTATGTTTGTGGGGGAATTAGTGACGGGATTTTTGTTATTTGTAGAAATATATTTTTAGAGTTTTATAGTAGGAGGAATTATTTGTAGCTAGTTTCAAAGATAATTACCTGGGCAATAATAGTTTACCTTTAACGACCTGTAAAGTGAGATGTTAAACATACCTTTGTATTTGTACTAATCTAGGAAATATCTGATGGTCTTAGGAGCTACCCATGAAATAATACAGAGGCAGAAGTGACAAGTAATTTTAGTAGAGATAGATAATGCGTATATGAGGGAGGGTATTGTGACTTAAATATTGTCTTATTTAATCTTTAAAACAGCATTATGAATAGGAACCCCCAATTTACTGATGGACAAGCATAGTCAAGTTTCTCATGCATCTGGATTTGGAGTCATGGCTATCTGGCTTCAAAGCCCAGGTTTTTACTCCTAGGCTTAGGAAGCTGAAGGTGGACTGATGGCAGAGACTAGAGAGCTGAAGTAGCAATATAAGTCAGTGAGTGGAAAGTGAACTTGGACATGAACTTCTGGAACCCCTCCTTCCCTATTCCTAGAATCCTGTGATGAGAAGATACCTATGTTAAAAATGCTCCCCAAATGGGAGACTCCCTCGGCCGGTTTCCATCCAAGTTTTTACCAAGAGATAATATTCTGTCTTTGTCTCTTATTATTTCACATAGAAGTATATACACCCAGGAAAAAGGACAGGATGTGCATCTTAAACTTTGGAACATTTTCTTGTTCCTACATTTGGAATATTCCCTAATAAAAAAAAAGCTATGGAGTTGAGAGAGAGATTCAGAAGTGGAGAAGGGAA